GTTGGAGTTGCTTAAGGATTATAATATCGCCATTCTTTATCATCCCGGAAAGGCCAATATGGTGGCCGATGCCTTGAGTTATAAGGTAGAGAGTTTGGGCAACTTAGCATACTTATCGGTAGCAGAGAGGCCTTTAGCCTTGGATGTTCAAGCATTGGCCAACCAGTTTGTTAGATTGGATATTTCCGAGCTGAGTCGAGTTTTGGCTTGTGTGGTTTCTCGGTCTTCTTTATATGATCGCATCAGAGAGTGCCAACATGATGATCCCCATATGCTTGTCCTTAAGGACACGGTTCAACACGGTGATGCCAAGAAAGTCACTATTGGAGATGACGGTTTATTACGGATGCAGGGTAGGCTATGTGTGCCTAATGTAGATGGTTTGCGTGAGTTGATTCTCCTGGAAGCTCACAGTTCGCGGTACTCCATTCATCCAGGTGTCGCGAAGATGTATTAGGATTTGAGGCAGCACTATTGGTGGAGGCGAATGAAGAAAGATATAGTTGGGTTTGTAGCTCGGTGTTTAAATTGTCAACAGTTGAAGTACGAGCATCAGAGATCTGGCAGATTACTTTAAAGACTTGAAATTCCAGAGTGTAAGTGGGAGCGTATTACCATGGACTTCGTAGTTGGGCTCCCACAGACTTTGAGGAAGTTTGATGCTGTTTGGGTGATTATAGATCGGTTGACTAAGTTCGCGCATTTTATTCCAGTTGGCACTACTTATTCTTCAGAGCGGTTGGATGAGATTTATATCTGCAAGATTGTTCTCCTACATGATGTGCCAGTGTCCATCATTTCAGATCGGGGCACGCAGTTTACATCACAGTTTTGGAGAGCAGTACAGCGAGGATTGGGCACATAGGTTCAGTTGAGTACGACATTTCACCCTCAGACGGACGGACAGTCCGAGCACACTATTAAGATATTAGAGGATATGCTACGCGCTTGTGTCATTAATTTTGGGGGTTCTTGGGATCAATTCCTGCCACTCACGGAGTTTGCTTACAATAATAGCTACAGATCGAGCATTTAGATGGCTCCGTATGAGGATTTATATGGGAGACGGTGTCGGTCTCCGGTGGGTTGGTTTGATCCAGGTAAGGCTAGGCTATTTGGTACTGACTTGGTTCAGGATACTTTAGAGAAGGTTAAATTGATTCAGGAGCGGCTTCGCACGGCGCAGTCTAGACAAAAGAGTTATGCTGACCGAAAGGTCCGTGATGTTGCTTACATGGTTGGGGAAAAGGTTTTGCTCAAGATTTCACCCATGAAGGATGTGTTGAGGTTCGGAAAGAAGGGAAAGTTGAGCCCTCGGTATATTGGGCCTTTTGATATACTTAAGAAGGTTGGAGAGGTGGATTATGAACTTGCTTTGCCACCTAGTGTATCAGGTGTTCATCTAGTGTTCCATGTATCCATGCTCCGAAAGTATGTCAGGGATCCGTCACATATTTTGGATTTCAGTACAGTACAACTAGACGGTAATTTGACTTATGATATGGAGCCGGTGGCTATTTTAGACCGGCAGGTTCGAAAGCTGAGGTCAAAGAACATAACATCAGTGAAGGTACAGTGGAAGGGCCAGCCATTTGGATAAGCTACCTGGGAGATTGAGCAGGAGATACGGAGCAAATATCCATACCTATTTGAGACTCTAGGTATGATTCTAAACCCGTTCGAGGACATACGTTTGTTTAAGAGGGGGAGAATGTAACGAGCCAGCCGGTCGTTTTGAGTATTATAACCCCGTTCCCCCATTTACTGCTCAAGTTATTCTTTACAGTTATTTTATGACTTACCGGGTTAGTTGGTTCGGGTCTGGAAGGATTTCGGAGCGAATTGAGACATTTAGTCTCATAATTGAAAACTTAAGTTGGAAAAGTTGACCGGATATTGACTTATGTGTAAACGACCTCGGATCCGAATTCTGATGATTCCAATAGCTCTGTGTGGTAATTTTGGACTTAGGAGCGTGTCCGGAAATTTATTTGAAGGTCCGTAGTGGAATTAGGCTTGAAATGGCGAAAGTCGAATTTTTGGAAAGTTTGACCGAGGGGTTGACTTTTTTATATTGGGGTCGAAATCCGATTCTAAAAATTAGAATAGGTCCGTTATGTCATTTATGACTTGTGTGCAAAATTTGAGGTCAATCGGACGTGATTTGTTAGGTTTCGGCATTGAATGTAGAAGTTGGAATTTCTTAGTTTCATTAAGCTTGAATTGATGTATGATTCGTGGTTCTAGCATTGTTTGACGTGATTTGAAGTTTCGACTAAGTTCTTATGATGTTTTTGAACTTGTTGGTATGATTTGACCGGTCCCGAGTGACTTTGGTGTATTTTTGTATCATTGGTTGAGAGACTAGTAAAGTTAAGAAATTTGCGAGTTTGACCATGGTCAATATCGGGTCAAGACGACCTCTTTTCAGTGTTATAAGTGCGCGATCAGGTCCGTAGCATGTTTTATGATTGAAATTCATATATGGTTTGTGTCTGGGAGGTTCCAGATGAGTTTCAGGGTGGTTTCAGATCATTTCGGAGAAGTTTGAGTTTGCTGGGTTCTAGTGAGGTACTGTTCATTCGCAATTGCAAACCATTTATCGCAATAGCGAACACTGTTCATTAGAGATTAATGTTCACTCGCAATTGCGAACAATTTGTCGCAATTGCGATAATTTTGGTTTATTGTGCAGTTCGCCATTGCGAACACTGTTCATGGGAGGTACTGTTCATTCGCAAATGCTAACCTGGACAAAATGTTTAAGATCTGAAAATGGACTTCGTCCCATTTTCTATTTTTACCGATTTGGAGCTCGGATAGAGGTGATTTTTGGGAGATTTTCAGAGAAAACAACGAGGTAAGTGTTTTTAACTCAATATTGGTTAAATTACCCGAATCCATGGTTGTTTTTAACATTTAATGGGTGAATTAAGTTGAAAAATTTAGAAAACCCTCTTGGTTTAATTTGAAGATTTGAGGGTCGAGTTGAGGTCGGATTTTGGTAAAATTGGTATGGTTAGACTCATGGTTGATTGGGTTTTTGGATTTTATAACTTTTGTCGGGTTCCGAGATGTGGGCCCCACTGGTGATTTTGAGTTAAATTTCGGATTTTATTGGAAAATTAATATTTTCTTATGGAATTAATTCCAATAATTTGTATTGACTCAAACAAATTAATTGTGACTAGATACGAGGCTTTCAGAGACCAATTCTTGAGGCAGGGGCATAGCGGAGTGAGAATTACACTGTTCGAAGTAAGTAGCAGTTCTAAATTTGGTCCTGAGGGTATGAAACCCCGGATTATGTGTTATGTGATTAGTTTTGAGGTGACGTACATGCTAGGTGATGGGCGTGTGAGCGTGCACCGTAGGAATTATAACTTGGTTAAATTCCATTGAACTGTGTAGTTGAATAATCTGTTGATACCAGTGCATTCTCTATGTGTTAGAGAAAATTGAGCTGAGACTCGTATTAAAAATCATGCTTATACATATGCTGTTAGTATTGGTACCCACTGGGGTCATTTCTGCGATTGATTTATATGTTCAAATTGTAATTTCACACTCAGTCATGTTTATTCACTTCATATCATATCTCAGTCTCTGTTGTTATTTATTAATACATCATATTATCATTTTTGGGACGATTATCATGATTTCTGAAAGCCCGAGAGACTGGAGTGGTTGATGACTAAGTGAGGCCGAGGGCCTAATTGTGAGGATATTTATGGGATCGGGCCGCACGCCGCATCATGTTTCATTGATTTATGCCATGATTGGCTTGATATAGCGCTTGGACTGAAGGAGCCCCTCCGGAGTCTGTACACACCCCCAGTGAGCACAGGTACCTACTGAGTGCGAGTGCCGAGTGACTGCGAGGAATGAGTGACTGTGAGGAAAGAGTGACTGTGAGGTTGGAGTGAATGGGAGGACTGAGTGACTGTTACTCTGAGAGGATGCATTGATTTCATTATTTGCTGCATTTCAGTTGTCATATATCACTATTTTTGAAATTTTGGAAAAATATTATTTTATGTTTCAGTCAAATTTGATATGAAATTACTGTGAAATTTTAAATGTTGAACTTGAGAGCATGCCTACCCTTTTATGTTGGAAAGTACTGTATTTGGACTTAGGTGAGAAGCTCGTCACTACTTTCAGTTTCTTATTTGTTATTGTTACTTACTGAGTTGGTTGTACTCATACTACACCCTGCACTTCGTGTGCAGATCCAGGTGACCCCGGACACAGTGTGTGTTGATTCTTTCACACAGTTGATTTTTCAGAGATTCAGAGGTAGCTGGTATGTTTCACAGACCTTGTCTCTCCTTCCCTATCCTTTTGTTTATTGTGTTTGGTCTCCGATTATTATAGACCGGGTTTCCCAGACCTGTAATGTATAGATGCTCATGTACTCAGTGACGCCAAGTTTTGGGAGTGTGTTTATTTTCAATGTTTGTAGGATTTACTCTTAAACTTAATTATTATGTTTTCAATATTTAAAAGAAATTATGGTTATTGGTATTGTCGGCTTGCCTATTATTGAGATAGGCACCATCACGACATGTTAGGATTTTGGGTCGTGACAATACGCCCCCGCAAGTTGAAGGTGGGATCGACCACCTTCAACTTGGGAAGATGCTTGTGAAAGAGCAGTCGAGGCAAATGCTTTGAAAGCGTGTCTGCAACCTGATCAATAGAATGAAAATGCTGAACTAGCACCTTTTTCTGCTACACTTGATCTCTAACAAAGTGAAAATCAACTTCAATATGTTTCATCCTACTGTGTAAGACCGGATTTTGACAGAGGTAGGTAGCACCGACATTATCACAAAATATTATTGGTGGATCATGTAGCTGCACATGTAGTTCTGTAATAAGTTTTTGAACCCAATTGACTTCAGCAAGAGCAAAAACTATGGCACGATACTCTGCTTCAGTGAAGGATCAAGCAATAATACATTGCTTCTTGGATCTCCAACTAATTGAATTTTGACCTACGTAAATAATATAGCCTGAAGTGGAAGTCCTATCGCTAATATCACCAGCTCAATCTGCGTCAGCATACATAAACAACCCAGGAGATGTCTTGCTCGTTATCTGTAAACCATGATTTTTGGTATGTTGAAGATACCGCATAAGTCTCTTACAAACGACCTGTGTGTTTGGGTAGGAGCATGCATAAATTGAGATAATTTATTAACCGCAAAGCTTATATCTGGTCTGGTAAATGACAGATACTGAAGCTTACCAAGTACTTGACAATACAAAGTGGCATCCACATAAGGTGTATCATCCTTTAGTAACAGGGACTCAGTGGAACTCATGGGTGTTTGAACAAGTTTACAGTCAGACATATTATGAGCAGCAAAAATATCAGAAACATATTTGGCTTGAGAAAGAATGATGTCATCTGTCGTTCGAAGGACCTCAATACCCAAGAAATAGTGCAGTTGTCCAAGATCTTTGAGAGAGAATCTTGCAGAAAGAACATGTATAGCTTGTTTAATAACATCAGAGCTGGAACCAGTGATAATAATGTCATCGACATATACAAGAATGTAAACCAATGCTCCATTATGATGACAAATAAATAGAGAGGAGTCAGAGTTCGACTTTTGAAAGCCAATCGGAGCCAAGAATTGCTTTAATTCAGAGTACCAGGTGCGAGTGTCCTGTTTGAGGCTGTAGATTGCTTTCTTTAATTTGCACACATAATGAGGAAAATCAGGATGAGCATACTCCGAAGGTTGACGCATATAGATATCTTCTTCAAGGTGCCCTTAAACAAATGCATTATTCACATCCAGCTGGTGCAAATGCCAATTATGTTGAACTACAAGTGATAAAATGAGTCTAACAATGACAGATTTTACCACTGGACTGAATGTAGAGTGATAATCTACACCTGGTCGTTGGGTAAAACCTTTTCCAACCGACCGAGCTTTATATCTGTCAACACTTCCATCAAGTTTGGTTTTGATATGATAGATCCATTTGCAGTCAACTACATTTTGGGAAGAGGATGGCAGTACAAGCTCTCACGTCGTGTTGTTCATAAATGCTTCAAACTCAAGTTTTTTGGCTTCTCTCCAGTGTGCGCTCTTTTGGGCTTGATTATAGGTGGTGGGAAGTGGTTCAATAGTGACAATGGCTAGGTAATCAAAAACTTGTTTGGGTTTGGCGATATTATTCTGTGAGCAAGTTACAGGTTGGTTAACAGAGGGTAGTTGAGTATATGGTATTGCTGTGGTAGATGGTTGGTTGAGATTCAAAGATGGGCTAGTCACTGGGTAGATTGTGTTAGGATATATTAGATATGCCCTAGATCCAATCTCATATTTGATGATTTAAACATATTTTTGTGAATGTTATTTGATATAAAAATATATGGCATTTGATATTCGTTTATCATAGTTATTATTAATTGCTTGATTAATTTAATAAGGTCCTTGATTAAATTTTGAGACTTGTCATCATGATGGAGATCATGATAATGAGAGTAAAGTCTCTTACAACTTAATCTAAATTTTGTTCTTGATCGTAGGATTATTAATTTGGACATTAGTAATCCGGTTAGATCAATATTAATGTGATCGTCTTTATGGGATAAAGATTAGTTGATCTCATTAACTAAATCACATAAATAAATGATGCATATAGAGATATGATCATTGAACCGATTCATTGGATAATTCCTAATTGTTAGAATTACCATAAACTGTCAATAGGATATTCTATTGAAGAATGTGATGTAAGAGTTTCCTTTGACCTGATATCATCATAGTAATTGACAAGTTATTTATTTTGCTTTGATACTAGACACCTATGGCCCTAGGGCAATAGTTGAAAGGATATTGGGTACGATTAAATACTTTTAGAATTAGTGATTGGTCAAGATAGAATTTGTCAACTCTTGGTAATGAGTTTAAGCTTCATGTTGTCATAAATTATAACCGACCATATTAAGATCTTGGCCAGGGCGATTGAATGAAAGAAGAAAAGAGTTTCTTAGGTCATTCAATGGTCGATTATGTCACGACCCAAAATCCATTAAAGGTCATGATGGCGCCGGACACCGCTGTCAGGCAAGCCAAAAATAGATACTTAATTTGGTTCTCATTTTAATATTTTTGAAATCATATTTTCTTCAATTAAATGGTAAAAGATGAAATTTAAAAAATAAATAATAATATTTTTAACAATTCCAATACAGTGCAACCCATAATCGCCTCAAAACCAGGTGTCACAAGTGCATGAGCCTCAACTATGAATGTAAAATTAAAAATAACATCTGTCCGAAATACAAATTTGGACAGGAAAATATAAATACTCTGAAGGAGACTTTGCTGGCTGCAGACTCGTAACGTGGAATGCATCTCACCTAAATCCCCGCAATAACAGCGCCTCTGCGCCCAAAAGACCACTAGGCATATATGCACCTTCACAAAAATGTGCAGCAAGTGTAGTATGAGTACGTAAATTAACACATACCCAGTAAGTATCCCGCCTAACCTCGAAGAAGTAGTGACAAGGGGTCGGCTCCGACACTTACTATGGGCTATAAATAAAATGTCAATGATATAAATAAGCATGGATTACGTAGTACGGCTGTAAGCTCAATGTCATGAAATAAGTAAACAAGTCTTTTGTTCATAAGAAATTTCCAAATTTATTTCCCATTACTTAACAACTTATCTCAGGCCGAGGAGGCAATATCATTTATTGTAAATTTCAAAGCAATCATGTCATGCCCCAACCTCGGGAAACACGACCGGCGCTCAACCGAGGGAACCCGACCGAGTAAGATTATTAGATACTTTCTACCCAATTCACCCCTGATCAAGAAAAGACGTGATTTCATTAATTATACAGTAGGAAGCTCATTCATACAATCTTAAATTGTTTCATTAGACATTGCGCTATTAAGTCTCAAAATACACATTTCTTATAGTCTGAGTGGAACAAGTGATCAACACAACATATACTTGTTTAACATTCCCAACACCCATATACACCCCACATAGTGTATACGGAGCCTCTAAAGATACAAAAGAGAGTAAAGATGGTGCCGACAATAAGGCCCCGACTATATCTCAAAAGTGACCATAATATAAATAAAAGGTACAATACATGACCTCGGAATGAAATGGGGATCACCGAGTCCGCTGAGAAGAGGATGCAGCACTATCTGTGATCAGCACTGCCTGCTATGTAACCGCCTGTATCTATTTAAAGATGCAGCACCCCGGGCAAAAGGGACATTAGTACCGTCGAATAGCACTAGTATGTATAGCTAAACACCAACTCAATAGAATGAATAGTAATACAAGAGGAACATTCAAAAATTCAATAAGAGATTTCAAATAATATTAAAACATCAATTTAAAGGTCACATACATTTTCAAGTCAACTTCCACGTTATTAGGTTGGGTGGTCTTTAGTGCCGATATTCCATAATTCACAATGCCTCCGTATTCTTACACGCAGTCCGATCTCGACCCGATCGGCTAGGTCGTCTCATTTGAGACATCAACCATAACCACAATTTCAATTATCATTTCCAGCACAATACCACCATGTGTGCGGCATGGCGTCTGATCACGGCCCGATTGGCTAGGCCGTCTCACCCAAGACGTTACCATTTTCAGTCAACCATCTCACATCATACTTCTTTCATATCTTTCAATCCATTGGCACTAGTGATCACGATTACAAAGTCATTCTTGGCACTTGGCCGTATTTCATAATTCCAGACCCCCTTTTCCACATTCAATATCATTATCAAAATCAACAACAATAAGGCTTCCTATTTAGGACATTAAATTCACATATGAGCAATTTGGGAATCTTAGGCACATAGAGGTTTTTCATACAAATTAGGCATAACAACCTTTATTTCGATCTTGACATAAAGTCCTAACATTTCTAACACATATTCCACATTTTTGAACATATCCTCAATAACAAGATATCATGATGAAGCATTTAGAATAAATATGGAACTTACATCCTTCAACACAAACACATTAGAAATCGCCAATTCTATAATAATCAAGGGCTTTCTCCAATTATACGAACACTGTGGGATTCGATTCTAAGAAGAAGGGGGTTTAGCCAACATACCTCAATTGAGCTTCTTAAAACTCTAAGATGTTCCAGAATATTAGCCACTTCAATCTATTTTAGAAATATAACAAATTGAACCAAAATTAGGAAGATGAACATGGTTTTAGCTCATTTGAGCATATTATCAAACACTAGGTGTGCATCAATGTTTTAAGCCCCTTTTTGTGGAAGATTCCCTCTTTCCCCAACCCATTCTCTATCATTTTTAGCTCATAATCTTCCCACATACCTTAGGAACACATGCATGCAAAGTAAGCACCCCCCATCCCTATGAATTACCTCACTAATGGCCCATTCTCATCACATTTTGAAATTACGAGTTTGGGTGATAGAATCTTACCTCTTAGGAAGAAGACCTAGGTGCCTCACTTGATAATCCTCAAGGTTTTAGGTGAGAATTGAAGAACAGTTTAAGTAATTTAAATTAACAATAAGGTTGCAAATATCGCAAGTATAGCATGATTTGGGTCCTAAACTACCCGGACATAAGCATAATAGTAAGTTATGCACAGACTCTCGTCACCTCATGCCGTACGTAGCACCCACAAATAGAAGTACATATTAGGTTAATTCACCTATGGGGTAAATTCCCCCTTACAAGGTTAGAAAGGAGACTTACCTCACTCCGAAGTTCCATCACCGGCTCCCAAGCCCTTCCAATAACTCAAACCGATGCCCAACGCTCCAAAACTAGTCAATAAACATGCAAATCCATAAATATACACTCTAATACTTATTATAATCCAATTTATAACAATTCCTAACTCCGCTTGAAAAGTCGATAAAATTACCCTCGGACCCATGTGCCCGGATTCCAAAACTTTTCGAAGATAAGCCTTACTCATATCACCACAAGCTCAAATATATAATTTATTCCAAATTCCACGTCCAATTTCATGATCAAAATCCAAAAATATAATTTCTAGGTTTTCTACCAAAACCCCCGCAATTTCTACTAATTTTCATATTTAAATCCTTATATAAACTATGTATTTAACTCATAATATGTGGGAATCACTTACCTTGACATAGATGACGAAAATCCCCCTTCCAAGAGCTCCAAAAATCGTCCATCCAAAAGAAAATTGGAGGAAAATGGCCAAATCTCGTCTTTAAAATGACACTGCCCAGCCCGACTTCTCGCTTCTGCGGTTCAACAGCCACTCCTGCGGCTCCGCACCTGCGAAAATTCCATCGTAGGTGTGGTTCAAGCTCGGCCCAGTAGCCCCCGCATCGGCGCCCCTTACATGCTTCTTCGCCTTCGCTTCTGCGACTCCACGTGCGCAGGTGCGGTCCCGCTTCTGCGGAGCTCGATTGCATTTGTGGTCCCACCCTACCCCAGCCAGAACCACTTCTGTGACACTCTTGGCCGCTTCTGCGGCTCCGCACCTGCGGCCAAAACCTCGCAGGTGTGGTTATACCAGAAGACAGATGCTTCAGTTTTTCCTTCCAAGTCCAAACTCGATCCGTTAAGCATCCGGAATCCACCTGAGGTCCTCGGGACCTTACCCAAATATACCAACACGTCCCAAAACACATTACGAACTTAGTCGAGGCCTCAAATTGTCCAAACAATATCGAAACTACGGATCACCCTCCAATTCAAACTTAGTGAACTTTGAAATTCCAA